TCTATCATCCCAATCATTAACAATTTTCTCATTCTAGGACATAAAACTTGTTCCTATTTCCCCAAGCCATATCTATCTTGTATACCTCAAATTTATCCCATCACAAATTAAATGTTCTTTTATTTCATCAATAGCCAGTTTAATCTTATTTATGTAGTTGACACAAGGACAATAATACTTTCATTTTTGCTAGCAAAATTTTTTCTAGCAAATTCAAGAAAATGATATACACCATTCTCATGCTCCTCAATCATTCTACTAGCATTCATCCAACTATAATTTATTCTATTTTTATTTAACAAATCATCACAAAGTCTATCAAATTAACAATTCATTAGCTTACCTGTGCTTTAATTAGACTCATTTCTAAAAAAAAATAAATAAAGTCTCCTCTTAAGGATTGAACATCCTAAATTACAACAAACATAAATCAATAGAACCAACAAGCAATTAAATAAATATTTACCTATTAAAGTTAGAAAATATCAAACTTTAAGATTATCCAAATTCAATTTCTAAATAAAAAAATTTAACAAAGTCTCCCCTTAAAAATTGAACATCCTCAAATTACAACAATTATAAACTAATAAATGCTGCAATCAATTAAACAAATATTTCCTACCTAAACTAATTCTCAAACTTAATTCTCAAACTAAATTTAATGCATTAATTTCTTTTTTACCAATATTATATATTCATTGTATAAATACTATCTAAAGTATTATTTTTATTTATTTTGGGTGGAAGGTTTAATGCAAGGAGTACCTATACTTTTATAATTATAATATTATCTAAAATATTATATATTTTATTTACAAATCTATAATTCAATCAGATAAAATTTGATAAAATATATACATGTAAGGAGGACTTAACCATGATCACAAATTCTTAGGTGCAGTATTATTTAAATTTTCATTAAACTATCTAATAAAATTAGAGCAAATAAATCACTTAAGTAGAGAGTGAAAAAAAGGACATAATGTGGGAAAATAAATTGAAAAAAATAAATTTGACATAATGTGGAGGCAAAGCTGCATGGTGATAACTTCAAATAAAAAAAGAAAGAAAGAAAGAAAAATACCTGGAACAAGCGTGGTTTAGGAGAGAAGATAAGAGGAGAGGGGCAGCGGGAGAGATAAGAGACTGAGGGGATAAGACATAGGTCTTACCAGCATAAAGGTTCTCAGTTGTGAATGGTTAGGGCTTCATTGATATAGAGCTATTAAGAGAGACAGAGATGTGAGTTTTGAAAAAAAAAATGAGACAGGGATCTGTGGAAGACAAGAGATGGGAGACAAGGAGGGAGCTAAGAGAGACACAGAGATAGAACATAGATAGAGAGCGAGGCAGGGAGCTAAGAGATGAGAGACAAAGATAGGGAGAGCTAAGAGACACAAAGAGGGAGTGGGTTTTGAAAAATGAGACAAGGCATAGGGCTAAAAAAGAAACCATATTCCACGTTCCCTTCCTCTCCGGAGGACATGTATTCAAATGAATCCACATTACATAGAGAGGAGGGGGACCTGGATTCTTTAGAAGCCAGGTCACCCAGGTCATGGCTCCTTTCTTTATGATGTGGATTCCTTAGAATACATGTCACCTAGAAAGAAGGGGACGTGGATTCTTAAAAATTTTAAAAATAATTTTTATCTTACAATCCACATTCTCTTTTTGTTTGGTTGAAATTGATTGTGTTCTTTCTAAGTCACATTTTCAAAATGTGATGTGAATTAGGGTAGTAGAACTGCTTTTTTATAGTAGTGAAAACTTTTAAATTCATAATAAATTAAACCCTACCATTAACTTTTTGTTAACGTCATTACTATTCACCATACCATTCATCATGGGGCCCAATCAAATGTTGATGTGGCTGTCCCTTGTTAATATGTCATTTGTTAATTAGCACCACAAACCTTAAACTATTAAGTAAGTAGCATCTTTGACCTTGAACTTTAAAATTTTAAGCAAAATACTCCTATCATGTATGTATAGAACATTGACTATTATGTAGACCAAACACATTGTTGGCTATATCGAACAACCTATAATTTTGCAAAATGACATTTTTTGCTCCTTTTTTTTGCAATGTTTTCCAAACAATTGGTATCTCATGCTTTTATATACTCTAACTTTGATTTAGCCTTATTTTGAATAATGTTAATTTATTTAATGATAAAAAATTGGGATCCCATTGGAAAAATAGTTTAAATATCCAAGGATTTTAATGAATCAGTTAATTTAAGTTTTAAATTCATCAATGAAATCATTAATTTTCATGTCCATTTTCTATAAAATCTCCTAATACTTAAACTTATTTTCAAATGAGATTCCAAGTTTTCATTATTAAATAAATTAACACTATTTAAAATAACACTAAATTAGAGTTATAAAGTTTATGGAAGTATGAGATACCGACAGTTTGGAAAACATTGCAAAACAGGGGCAAGAGATGTCATTTCACGTAATTATGGGTCATTTGTCATAGCCAATGATGTGTTTACTATGGTAGATCATGCCAAGAGTAATTTGATTTTCATAATAGTCAACATTCTATATATAAATGATGGAGGTAATTTACTCAAAATTTTAAAGTTCAAGATCCAGGACACTATTCGTGTAATAATTTAGGGTCTGTGGCACTAATTAATAAATGACACATCAACAAGAGACTATTACTTTAGCATTTGACTACGGCCCATGGTGAACAGTTTGGTAAACAGTAATGGCATTAATAAAAAGATAACAGTAGGGTTTAATTTGCTATGAATTTAAAATTTTATGGTTTATTTTGCATATTTTAAAAGTTCATAGTCCAGGATACTTTTCACACAATACTTCAGGATCCATTTTGCTCATTAAACTATAAAATAATAGAAAATGAGTAAAAAAGAGATAATAGAAAATGGAAATTAGAAAAACATTTTACAAAAGCAACCACTATTAAATAATAAGAATGAAAATGTGAAAATATTTTAACAAGAAAATAAATAAATAAAAAGTTAAAAGGTCTTGGATATGAAAATAATAAAAAATGATACAAATATAACTAAACTATATCACGATCTAATATAATAATGAGCTATAAAGATTTGAATATCTCAAAATAATATAATAATCAAAATATAATATAATATAATATTATGATTTGAATATTTCAAGATAATATAATCTAATATTAAGATTTGAAGATTCTAAAATAATATAATAATTAAGATATAATAATAAGTAAGATCAAAAATAATATCTAATCTTTAAATAGTAATAATCAAAGAATAAAAAATCACAATATGATTGAGATTTTAAAAAAACCTTAGGTATACGGGGTCTATAAAAAGGAAAGTAAAGTTAGAGCAAAGGGGACGATTAGTGAGAGGCTTAAAGAAATTGTGAGAGAGATGAATGGAAGAGAGAAAACCTGGAGATAATAGAATGAAAAGGCTTTGAATAGATGATGGTATGCAATAATCTTATATAATCACAGTTAATGCTTTGGTGTTGGCAATCCGTGGTTAATGTTTCTCATCTTCATTGAATTCTTGGAACATTGAAGAGTTTTACGCTTTGATTTCAAAGAGCACGCATGGCCATGTACCCTAGCAAGACTTGGTAAGGATTTTCTCTATCATATAATATTTATCTAATTGGATTCATGACTCTTATAGTTACCTCTTACAAAAATCATAACAATAAATTATTCCTGTAATATTTCTATCTAAAAAATTCATGAATGATACTATTTCATCTTGTGCATTTAGAGCTGTAAGTGATACTAAACCACCATATGTACAAGCTTAATTGATGTGCAACAATAAAGTGCTCTTGATTGTCTCTAATTTTGAAACTATTTGCTGTATGAGATTTTGAGAGTCCTCACAAGTTTATAAATTAATTAATTTGTGATATATGTTCATAGTTTTATTCTATTTGTTGCGTGAGACTTTCAAAGTCTTTACAGGTTTATATGTCAATTAAATTATCCTATACAATAATAAATTATTATGAGTATATATTTCAAAGTATTTAAAAATAAAATATTTTCCTAAAAATAAATAAAATAAAATAAATTATATTTAGATGATGGATTTTGGGATACATGAAATTTTCATAAATCTTATCAAAATGTTTCCCTGAAATTGTTTCTCAAATTTTTTTACAAATAAAGAAATAAAATATTTTCCTAAATAAAAAATTCAAACCAACATTACAATTATTTTATAAAAAATTAAAATTTAATATTTTTCTCAAAAAATTTTGAACCAAGAGATATGCATTTTTTTACCTCGAATTACATGGGTTTGATCCTTCAAAAAGGTACGTAGGTCCTAAAATTTTATTTTAGGTCAAGTCTAACTTATAAATAAAAATTTTTTTCTTTTGATTATCTTATTTTTTGTTAAGGATGATTAAAATATTTTTAAGGCCATATAAATTTATATAGTTAACCTAAAATAATCATTTATATGAACGGGTGTTGTGGGGTGTTTAACATTTTTCCTACACATAATTGATTTCCATATGATTTTCTGTATATACAAATTACATGTCAAACAGGTTTCTAAAATTACCCTAAATTTTAATGGTGACTCCTAAATTGTTTTTTTATTCGCTTTTCTTCTTGGGAAATTTTGGATTGGCGCACACAAAAAATTTGCAGGAAGCCGTTTGGCTTCAATACTAAGCTTGCGTTGGACTGCAAGCATAGTATGGGAGACAATTTATTCAGAAAGCTCTTACTTTTGTCAGCTAATTATAATTAATTAATTGTCAATAAAAATATTAATGCAGCAATATTATGATCCACGCTCTAATGTACAGATCAATTATCTTATTTATCATTGTAAAATATGTTTTGCTGTAGTGTGTGGAAGAGAGTCAAGTGTGGAATCAAAATCAAAACAACGTTTCTAACAATTGAACTTGTTAGATAAGAAACATGCATACTATTCATTTCATACACATTTCACAACAGATGAACACTATTTGCCCTGAAAGAAAAACCCAAATGTAAGAGATGGGACACAAATCATAAAGTTCATAATAATGTATAAAGGAATAACTACAGTTAGAAGTAACAAAATACCACACAAAAGAGAAGCCCTTTCATCATCTTGTTATGAACAATTTTTAAGTAGACTTGATTGGTGAATCAAGCTAATTATATGAAAGTATACAAGCATGTCAAGAATTTGTTCATGTAGAACACATCTTTGGCATCATTATCTATCTCCTCATAATTAACTCAATCTATTTGTTCATTGTTAATCAAGTCTACTTAAAAATATATGGCCTTTGTTTCATGAAGGAAAAGAAAGGGATGCAACTATGTGAAAGAACTGAAGTTGCTCTAATAGCTCTTTGGCATGAGCAGTGGCTCTTTGCTCCACTCTAAGGAACAGCTTCTCGCTAAGCTTGTCGCCGATGTGGGCATCGACGAGGACACCAGACACGCTCCGGCAACTGTTGGCCAGAGCCCTTCCTACTTCAGTTGCATCATCTGGCTGGTTCACCACAAGAGGGCTTCCTCCTTTGAACACCTCAAGCTTGTTTATAGCAAATGAGCCATCTTCTTCCACAACCTCTTTGAAGTCTTGTAAGCTTGGAGCATAAATTGGGATGTTAAAATTGTCTCTTTTCTCACTGCTAATAAGCCCCTGTTGTAAACAACAAAAACTATTTCAATATTATTTATTGTTTATCAAGAATCACTTGAAACTAAAAGTTAAAATTATAAAATATTAATATGAATCTTCTTCGCATGAAAGTTGGTTAGGTTAACAAAGAACAAATCCATTATACATTACATTAAAAATATACAAAAACTTTAGTTGTTAGGCTAACTCAAGTGGCTTTTGTCTTGGGTTCATTGTAAAAGATCCAAGTCGCTTCCTCCCTTCACATGACTGATGAATTAACAAGAAGGAAATATTAAAAAAAAAAAAGAAGTCTATTCTAATTATTGTAAAATGGAGTGGGTGTGTGTGTGTATGGTGACATACACAAACATTTCCTAACTCGTGATCGCATAGATTTTATTAAATCGATTATCCACGTTTCAGATTTAATTTGTAATATTCTGATAACTAAATCTTTGTCATACACAAATATTTCCTAACTCGTGATCGCATAGATTTTATTAAATCAATTATCCATGTTTCAGATTTAATTTGTAATATTCTGATAACTAAATCTTTGTCTTATTGTGATAATTTTTATCTTCAACAGAGAGCCTAATGAATATTAAAAAAAACAAAAGGCTTTTCCAAATCAAGGATATAATGAAACGATAAGGAAATTATTAACTTCGTTGGAGATAAATTATTTTTTATTAGAAGTAAAATAAGAAAAGGAAATGAAGCCCATAAAATTTAAAAAATAGCAAGCAGTGACACCCGTACAATCCATCCTTATGTTTGCACTAAATTCAAGATACCCATAGCCTCAATTTGTTTAATATGATAGAAAGATGAATATATGTATATATATATATATACTGCAATAATCACTTGAGTTAAAAAGCTTAAATTTCTAATTGAATTATTTCTGACACTAATTATTGTATCAATCCATAAAGGGTTCCTTCTTTACGTGCTACTTTTTCAGGGGCTAGGGGTCAAAGTGATAGAAACTAGGCTTTGATTGGCTAGAAAGCATGAAGAAGAGTCAATTGATTATTCCAAACCAATGTTGAAACAAAAAATATATATAAAGCACGCACTCTACATTTCCATGTGAGTTTGAAAAGGTGTCTGCTTCTAATGATAGAAGTTGCATCACCCAAGAAATTCGTGGCTTGTATGTTTAGTTATGTTCTCATTTTTTATTTTTAAAAATTTTTTTGTGAATTAATTTTTTTAAATTTTTTTCGAAACAAAAAAAATGAAAAATCTACTTAATTATGTTAATTTTAAAATTTAAAAATAGTCAATAATGATGGTTATCAATGTTTAAAAGTAATGACGTATAGTAATTGTTGGTTACAGGTAATTTATAATAATCAAATGTAATATATTTTTAAAATAAAAAATAAAATAGCTTTAAGATGTTTCCATATTTTGTTTTTAAAAACAAAAAGAAAAAGAATATTTTTAAAAACATTTAAATTCAAAACTCTTAATTATTAGAGGAAACAATTTTTATTTTAAAAAACATTTAAAGACTATTTTTTATTTTTAAAAGCAGAAAAGCAATTTTTAAACCCAGAAATCAAATGCCCTAAAAAATGACTTGGTAAGTATATGCAAGAGTGTCTTTATGTTTTTACTGACTTGCTTAAGAAAAATATACCCCATTAATACTTGAACTACTGTAATAAATTCTCAAGGACATCCTATTATGAAGGCCTTGTTATGTTCATTGTACTCTCCTATTTATATTATACATATTGAATGTGTAGCATGTTTTGGTAGTAGAGGACTATGTGCAAATGCTTTTAGCTTTGTCACAAGACATTGTTAGGTCCTATATTCTCACAAATGTCATGTATATACAAAGAAAAAATTAGAGATGAATGCAAAATGGTTTTAAATCCAATGCAAAACAACTCTTGTCCACTTGTTTTAATTTGAGGAACATCTTTACGACGCCACATGTTACATTCTACGGTAACAAATAGAACATTGTCATCTTGAAACTTGTAGCATTTGACACGACGACAACCATCAGATTAAAATAAACAATAAACATTTTTTTTATAGCAAAATTGTTACACAGAATCCAAATCCATACACTTCATGAGAATTGTTGTTGCAGACATCATCATTTGTAACAAGTAGAAAGACTATAACAAAATAACAAATGACGTGGTGTGATGATAATTGTCATATATCATTTTTTTTAACAGACGAGATTTTCTTGATTAGATTACACATGATAGAATATAGTAAATCAGAGGGAATGAAGCCGAAATCCATACCCTTTTGGCTTTGTTAGGAGACATTATATTAATTGTTGGGTCCTAGATATATATTCCCACAATCATCAGATGAAAGCAAGAAGAGTGCTTGCTCGTTGTCTAACTTTTAAGATGTGAATATGATTTCAAGTGTCGTAACAATCCAAAACCTAATAATTGGTCAATATTTCAGACCGCCCATTACCTACCGGGCACGCAATTGATCATATTCCTTCATAGCTGTGGGACTCTCATGTATCAGACTTGGCTAACAAATCATTACGAAGAAAAAAAAAACTCATTATGATGATGATTTCAAGTTGGGAGTATGTATACGGACCTGTTGGACAAGATCATCCCAAGCGTCCTGAAAGTGGGTCCCGAAGAGGAGGCCGGCCCCACCTTGGTCTGTGGGGTCCATGGAGGTCCGACCAAGGCAGACCAAGAACATGGATCCACCTTTCTTCATCTCCTGGGATCTTGCTCTCAGGAAAGCCGCCAGATCTGTCTGAAACTGATTCCTGTACGCATTCGCTGTGCTCTCACTTGCTGCGTGTATGAATACTCTTCCTTTGTTGTATCCACTTCCTCTTTTGTCCAACACACTCTCTGGTACCTGCCACGTCATGCATCCTATTTCGTCAATTTCATTATTTGTCATTTATCTCATCCACGCACTCAGACTTTTTCTGGTCCTATTATAAGGTACCATCTAAAAAGATTTCTTGATCTTTAATATAAAGCATGTTATGTTTTTAGATCAAAAAGCAAATTGACTTTCAAAATATATGAGGTTAGAGACGTTTGAAATTTTAAATTTATTTTTAAAATAATATTTTTTTAAATTTTTTTAAAAATAATCCAAGCTAACTCATGTTAATAAAAATTAACTTTGAATAGCTGGCAAACCATTATCTCCCTCAGATGCGGACACAAATAGGAGAAGTCCTTGGAAATGAAATCATGAGAGCCCCATAAAGATTAAAAAATGAAGAAAAACTGAAACATTATTATGTTCTTACTGTGCATGCATCAAAAGTCACTGTCACACTACGTCACTTTGTCGCTTAAACATGATATTTGTGTTTTCAAACCTAAGGACCATACATTTTCGTTGCATTAACTTTTTTTTTTTAATCTATGGGATGAATATATTCAATGTACCATAATAAATTATCCTCGGGAAGTGGCATATTAAATTATTCTTTTCTCGGAGAAAAAGGTACTGCTTTGACCTCATTTACATCCATCGAGTGTTTTGCGGGGTGAAACTTCAAGAAAGTGATACAATGAGGGAATTAATTGCTTTTAAGTTCCACTTACGAAAAGTTTTCATGAAAGCGGGGAGTTTCAAACCAAAAGCTTTCATGAGTGAAAGAAAAGAAAAATATATCCACCAGTTAGCAGAGTGTTAATTAAAAATCCGTGGATTGAATAAACTTATCTGACCATGAAAGAATAAATTTTGTTCCCCCAGACCACAATATAAGATAATTTAAGAAACTCCATTTGATAGAAAGAATATAAAATATTATATAATTTTTATAATTATTTTTTTAAATTTTATCTCTACTTTAATTATTACTCTTTTTTAAGTGCCTGTTTGGTTGGGCAAATAATCAATTTTTTTTGCTGAAAAAATCAATTAACTAAAAAAATATCCAAACATCACCTTTTGTCATTAATTGATTATTAATGTTAAAATTATTTTTTTAAAGGCTTTATTTGCGAGATTTTGGGGAAAAGCTGATCAAAGGTATTGAAAAAAATTATAAATAAAGATCCAAAAAAAATTATAAAAGAAACACAAAATTTTAAAAAAATAAAATTCATTTCAGAAACAAATTTAATAATATTAGATATAAATTTAATAATAATTTAATTTTAAAAATTAATATTTTTATGGTAATTTATACAAATAAAATTAATTCTAAATAAATTACCCAAACATATTTAATTTTATTAAAATTAATTTTTAAAAAACAGTATTCAAATAGATTATATTATAACACAATCAATTATAATTAAAATCTACCACTTAATTAATTATTTTTATAATTTATTATATCCAACTGAAATTCAAACAAACACTAAATAAAGTATTAAAATTTTTATTGTTATTGTTAAGGAAATTATATAAAATATTTATGTTGAAAATTATGTGTGGACATATATTAATTATTTTATTGATTTTTTAAAATATGTTAATTGGTGATCCGTGAAATATTAAAGTCCAATTACGTACCTTTATGTGATCGGCCTGGCACGTGCTCTATTAAGTCTAGTTAGTGGCTAAAGCAAGTGCCTTAACCTTACTAGATCCTGTAGTGGCCGGGCCTAGTAAATATTATTAAATAGGTTAAGTCCTCTCTCTAACCTATTCTCAGCGTGTGTTTTCCTATCAAAAGTCACTTGAATAGGAGTATCTCTCAAAGAATATAGAGAAGACCTAAATTAACTAGCTCATGTAATTTAGTTGACTAACTAGTGTATTTGTTTAGTTTCTTATTACACTCTTTTTTTGGTTTTATTTATAGGGTTGTCAAATAAAAAATTTTTATTTTATTTATAAGTTACATTATTAAATTTTTATCATAAAATTTTTTTATAATATTCATTGAATATTGAAGAGAGAAAAATATATTATTAAAGTATATATATTTAATAAGAATAAAATTAAATATTAATTAAATTTTTAAACACAGTTAATAAATTTTAAAATTTTTTTTAGTTTCAGTAAAACATATTAAAAGAACCTGTATATTAAACCAAAGGAATACAGTTGATCCCTATCTAATGATTCATTAGATCTTAAGCTTAATGAGGGTATGAAAAGATGTAAAAAAATTTAAAAAATTAAAGTTTTACTTCAATTTTTTTTTATTTTTTTAGAACGGTGAAGTGGTTATTAATATTTTATACTTTTGTATAGAGAGACTAAATGCAAACCAATAATCTTAAATCCCTGACAAGAAGAAAGTGTCTAAGTGTTCACACTAGACACGCCATACAAAAGTCAAGAAAGTTAGTTAGTTTTATATTTAAAGGTTCATCTCTATCCATCTATGAGCAGGAAAGCATGACTGAATCACAGTAGACACGCCATACGAAAGTCAAGAAAGTTAGTTTTATATGTAAATATTCATCTCTTTCTTCCTACGAGGGTAAGATCATAATTAAATTCATCAAACTGACACAAATATAACAAAAAAGAAAATTAGAGCCAAATTAAAGTACCTACGTACGGCTATATCATGAGTAATTAATAAAAAGAAATTCATATGAATATTAATAAGTAGACATTTCAGCTTCTTGATTATCATTTGTGTCATGTAATTTTAGAATATAACAGATAAATTAGTACCAAAAAAATTATAACAGGTAAATATTTCTTTAAAGCCCAACATCATATTTATTTATTTTTTAATAACGCCAATATCATATTTATTTATCACATATTAGAAGGTTGTATCATAAGATCTATGAAAGAAAAGAACCAAGTGGTAGTTAAAGGTCTAACCTGAGACAACCAATGCAAGGAAAAGGCAGAGTGAAAAACATCGATGGACCTCATTGGAAAAAGCCTTCGGTAGAAGGAGCCGGCCACTCCGGCAGCGAAGTAGGAGCGATGGTTATTGGCGGCCAGGCATTCCTCCATGCTAACACCATAATTGGTGGTGGTGAGCATAGGAGGAAGTAACTGGAAGAGAGTGTTGAAGTCATTGCTTGGAAGGTCGGAGAAGAAAGCTGAAAACTCCGGCGGATCGAGACCTAAGGCGTCATATCGTTTGATGATGTGGTTGATGATGACGTCCACCACATAGATGGTGTTGTTGCCACAAGAACAACCCAAGTCCACAACCACAAAGGGAACATCAGGATTATTCAATTGAACTCTGTCTAGGGTTTCTTTTAGAAGATGAAGCATGGAACGAGCATGAATAGCCTGCATGGATAAAGAGAATCATGATTTCCAACATACTTTGCATATTATCTATAAAAAGAAAAAGCATTTTTGTTAATTAAAGAATAAGTGACAGATGATATATTAATTAAGCACATAATATCAATGTAATTAGAATTCGTTCTTTGATATATCGTTTTAATGATTTTTGTGGAAGATCTGTGAACCATTAAAATTATTCTGAAAATAATTTTTGTTTGAAACACCAAAATAACTTTGAATATTAGGTGTAAGTTGACTTGACTTATAATATAAAAAAAAAATATCTTACATCAAATAGAGTTGAGTTGGAGAAGATATATATAAGTGGCAAAGACTCACAAACATAATATCTTAATATTTTGCATTAAGATATGGTATCAGTCTCACTTATATGTATCCTCTTGAAATTATTGGGTGGTCCGACTCATACTTGACCTCCCAAAAGCCAACGATTGGTTTCTCTTCTCCTCACCCTCTCCTCATGGATCTCTTCAAGTCATTGAAGAAAGAGATGAATTTATCTGTTTACGAAGGGCTAACAAAATGAAAGATCGGCCTAAAGTAAGATCCCAACAAACACACACAGACTAATTTCTCGTGAAGTTATATATATATATATATGTAGATATATATATATATATATATATAGAGAGAGAGAGAGAGAGAGTTCACCTGAGCTTGTGAATTATTGGCGTAGCTTCCCTCACCTTTGCCTCCTTTCATGCTAAGAAGTCTCTCAAGCTCCATATTTGACACAACTACGTTGTCTCTCTTGAAAGCCATAACCTCTGCTATCTCTCTCTTAATTACTCCAAAAACATGGCATAAAGGGCAGACAAAGAGTTCATATTTATATTCACAAATCAGGACACCCTGTTCGCTTTCTATAGGCAGAGGCAAAGGACCAGCAAGTTGAAAGTAATTATGATCGTTGTTGTCGTTATTATTATTAGTATTATTACGAAAATCAAATTGGGGAAAAAATAAAGTAAAAATCTTTAACCGGAAAAAAAAAAAAAAAAACTCAAAGGTGCACGACAAGGGAATATAGGCTTCACATGCAACAAAGGACTGGCCCAAGATTTGCGCCGGATTTTTATTTCTTCCTTACCACACATACAAAAGAATTTTTTTTCCCCAAATATTCCCACTGAAATGCAAAATATGAAAATCTAGTTCAACCTGCCTAGTTCAACGGGTAATTAAATCATTAAATTAATATTTTAATATATTTAATAAAATATTTTATTTATGATCATCGGATCATAATTTGATTCTAATTTTGATTATTAACTTTTAAACCAGTATTTTAATTGATTCAATGATCATGTTAACAACTTAAATACATTATAGATATATATATATATATATATATATTTTTCAGATGTCAATCATCTAAATTATATATTGTATATTTTTATTTTTATTTTTAGAAAAATCACAATGTATTCCTCCTTTTCAAACAAAGAGTAACGAAGTTACGAAAATAAAATAAAATTCAGACAGCTAGTGCATTTCTCTTCTCGAGGGTGCAGATGAAAAATAGGCACTTTTAATATATATATATATATATATATATATATTCAACGATATTTGGCTTGAAAAATGTGTTCATATATGAGAGTAGTTTCTGAAATAGAGGTTAATGAAGGGGGGAAAAAGGTGGCCGGACAACATGTGTACATATCCATAATCATAACAAACTCTTATTTAGTATCAATTACAGACAGGGTAAATTAATTGAAAAAAGGGGGGAAAAGAGAAATTGAAATAATTATAAAAAAAAAGGCTTCAAACTTATCCAAAGCTTTGTGGGTCCAAACCAAATAATATTGTTCTTGCACTGTACATGCATGCAGTTTGCAGTGTGTGTATTGGACACAAGATATGGATACAGTTTAATTAGAAAATACAAACAGAAAAATTTTCACCATTAACCATAGTATTAACATGAATTTGATCTTCCCCCTACAGAAAAGAGACGGAAAATTATATTAGATGGTTGATGACCAAATTTATATATAATAAATGAAGCATCATAAAAATCAAGTTATTCTTATGAATTAGAAAACTTTATTATTCCACTGACTAAGTTAGTGTGAGTTGTGAAAGCTCTTAGTAAATTGGAACTTGGAAGTTTGATTTCCAAGATTTCAATTTGAAGTACACCTGTTAGATAGTAATTAGGAGGGGTTTCAGGGGGAAAATAGAAAAGAAAGAGTAAAAGAAAAATATAGTTGGGCTGACTAATGGTTTTAAAGATGATACATATAAGTGAGTATGACATCACAAGTTAACCGAAAACTTTAAGAAATTCAATTTATAAGTTTTTTTCCACTTAAATATTTCATCTCCAACCTAATTCTGTCTAACATGATACTTTTTTTTTATCAGGTTAAGTCAATTTACACTTGATTTCCTAACGAATTAAAATGTCCTTTTGATTTGAGACTAACTTTCTAACAATTTTTTTATCCAAACAAACTATCAAGATTGAAAAAAAAAATAAATGAAATAGACAAAAAGAAAGAAAGAAAAATAACTAATAGAGTTAGATTTAATGAAAAGAGCTAGTTCTTAAAATATTGTGAACCCGATTCAAATCCTTACTAAAAGAAGTTTTTCACACATTTAATGCTCAATAATATTTTGAAAAGGATTTAATTTTTTTTAATAAAAAGATATCTGTGGGAACTACTACTACTACTACAAAAGCTATATACTATCCTCCGTTATAACTTAATCCTTCATTGTAAATTCCGTCAACTGTGGTCTCTTAAATGTAATTATTCCCTAAATGAAAGCTCCATGTATCCATCAATGATAATTAATATAGCTACGTTACACGTAAAATCCAATGCGAGATCGAGGGATTTATATAATTAAAATACTAGGAATTATTGAGTAATGATACGTATTAACCCATCAATTATGTAAGAAAACTTAAGGTGACAATCATTAATTATGATATTCTAATGCTACGTAAGTTTTCTTTAACCCTTTAAACTACACTTTGGATATATAAATTTAAAAGGTTGATTACTCTTTAACGAACAACTTTAACGTTATGTTAATATTTTGCTCGAGAAAGATTAATTACACTTGTCGGCATTATTTAGCTTTATTATAAAATAATAGGAAGTCAAAGTGATTTATAAAAAGCCTAATATGATGATTAATTATTTATTAATTAAGTATTGATCACCCCAGAATTCATGGTTCAGTTTGTACCCAACTGCTCCTCAACGACCTTATACTGGTCTAGCCTATTTGAGGGGTTCAAGTATTATTAAAAAAATACTGTTGGCCAAAAGTTAATAAAAAAAAAATTTTGTTGGGCGCACAAATCACCTTTCCAATTATAACCCCAAGTGAATTATTGTATTATACTGGTATCACCTCTCAAAATATAAAAATTAAGGAAAAAAAATATTATCATGAACGTAAGATCTATATTCTAATCTCTCTAAGCTGTAAATTCCAAAATGCAAAACAAATACTCTCTCTCTTAAAAAATATAAGACATTTTTAACAGAATTTCATCTCAATAAAATAATTACTTATCTTCAAACTAACCATATCTTTACATATTTACCCTTATTTAATAGATGTTTCACCTTAAAATAAATTATAAATGATTTATTCAATAGAGATACTTAAAAAAAAACAATGATTATAACTTGAAAGAAAAAATGTCTTATATTTTTAAACATTTAACACCTTAAAAAATATTTTATATTTTTAAATGGAAGGAGTATTTTTTTTTATATGGCTATTTGACTTGGTCAATTAAAAATAACTTTTTTAAAAAATATTTTTTACATTCATAAAAATTTGAACTCATGACCTCATACTCAAACGGTCATATTTCCTTTTACTAGAATCAATGTTAGTTGGTGGCTAATAATTTTTTTTTAGCTAGATGAATTGATTGAGAAAATTAAAAGCCAGCGTGCTTTTTTATCACTCTTTTTCCCGGCAACGTGTAGACTGTAGAATCCTTGAGATGTTCATATTTATTTTCCGAAGCGGGACGCTCAACAGAAGTTTGAAAAGAAACAAGTAATTCAACTATCTGATTTGCAATTTTTTTTGACCAGGTGTCCTATTATATGCAGTTGAGCTTCTATTTCGTCAATAGAATATTATATATGTGAATCATGCTAAAGAGATTGCAGCGATCTTAGAGCCTGTTTGTTTTCAATTTTTAAAAACTGCTTTTTCTTTTTTTTTTAAATATAAAAATTCAAAAACTTGTTTGTAAAAGTGTTTTCAATTTACTTGTTTCCAAAACTATTTTCATTTTTTGTTTTTAAAAACCAAAAACTAAAAACAACCTAATGGACCCCATGGCGTGGATAACATGACATTAATGGCAATGAAGTTTGAGGATGGTAATTATGAATATGGTGGCATAAAAGGAGCCTAAGGCAAGGAGCAAGGAGCCCAACACTTCCAATTTAATGTGCCTAAAAACCCTTTACAATATATTGGAGATCCAATGATAAGAGCCCGAACTAAAGCCATGAAGCAAGCCTTGTCCAGTCTTGTGCAAGAAGTCCAAGAGCTTGGAGAGTATTAGGGCACTCCTTTCAAGCCCAAAGGAGAGCATCTAGGCATGTATAATGTATTTAAGATCTAAATTCATGAAGAGTCAAGTTCAAGAGGTAAAAACCCTAACCAATGCAAGGAAAACTATAAGTGGAGTATCTTGCAAGCAAGGAGGCATGAAACCCTACTAAAGAAGTCAAGGATGGTGTGATTTTAAATCCTTTATGATCCCTTAATTGTCTCCGTAATTGTTTCCTATTTTAGTGATTCTTTGACTTGGCTCCCTTTTTTAAGGAGCAAGACTAGTCATAGTTTCCTATTTTGAGTCTAGTCAAAGATTATGATTAATTATATTATTTTTAATTTCTAAGTTTTGTGATCCCATAATTTTAGGATCACATATCCTAAATTATGTGGCTGAATTTTTTATCCTTTATTTTATATTATTTTTTCTCCTTTTAGTGTAGGAAATTAGGGTTTTAATTTTAGGAAATAGTCTTTTCTATGAGCTTATATATATTAGGTATGCTCCCTCTTGTAAAAAGAAGAGAAGTTGAATGAAATTATTCATTTTAGAGTTTATAACTCTTGTGAGCCTTAGTGATTTGTGGTGGCATCTCGTGTGAGAAACAAACGTGATCAAAAGCGTGATTAACTCTTGTGGTGTCTTCGAAGGTTGAGGTTTCTAGAGGCAGATGCTCTAGACGATCTTATCCTTGATCATTATCTCATTATTTATTTCATTCCTTTATTTATTTTCATAATAAATTTCATCCCTTTTCTTTTTGTTCTTATGTTTTTGTTGTGTTTCAGGGTTTTGTCCCTGAACTAGCACGATTTTACTTCTGCATCCTCTATCAGATTGGTATCAGAGCTTTGGTTGCTAGTTTGCTAGTTGTGGTTTGAATTCTTGTCCTTTCTTTTTCTTCTTCAGTTTCGTTACTTTCATCTTCATCTTTATCTTGAGTAATTATTTCTTTTTGTGATCATCTCTTATCTATCCCATCTACTTCTATATTTTGGCTTTCCTCTTCTTCACCTTTGTAACTTTTTTATCTTATGTGAGTTTTCATTTTATTAGCTTAGTGAAAAAAGAAAAAAATACCTAGAAATTCATGAAAAAAAGACAAAAAAAGTGTTAATGTGTTAAAAAAAAGGAAAAAAAATCCAAAAATTTAAAAAAATTACAATATATATATATATATATATTGCTGTAAGTTGTGATTGTAGGAAAAGGCTATTCTT